GCAGTCGAGGTCACGGCACGACTGCACAGGATGCTGAAAATGACTTTGCTCTGATAGGAAGCTCCTCAGCGATAGCAGACTTGATGTGGTCGTCATTGGAGACGGAACATAATGCTTCTTAGTGTTGATGCCGTTCCTGACGAGTACTGCGAGAACTGGTCCCACGGAAACCGGGTCCAAACCATCAGCGAGAGACACCAGCTCTCGATGTACAGCAGTAGCCGGGGTGGTATAGTCGATTAAATCCGTGGTTCCGATAGTAACAGGATGAGTTGCTGTACGAAGCATAGTAGACTCTACAGAGGGGGAAGGGTTCGGATCACCGGGGAGGTCGGCCAGAACAGTTGGTCTTGAAGTTACGTCATCGTGTGGTTGATGCTGATTGGAGTCGTCGACCGTCTCAGTAGTATTGCCCGAGGGGACGCTAGGCTCAGAAGTGGAGGGCTGCGGTGGAGGAGAATCGTGACCGGCGATATTGGGTGATGTTGGGCTTCGACGGCTGCGAGGTGCTGGAGTCAGTTGGGAAAAAGGACGACAAATAACTGAGGCGAAGGTGGGATGTAACCCAACATCCTGGAAGAACTTGAATCACTGCTAAATAGCGCTAGGTGTTGCGTCGACACAACGTGACTGTCCCTTCACACACGCCGGAGACCGTCGCCGAGTAAACTGGCCCAACGAGTTGACCTCATTTACCCGGCTCCCTTCCTCCCCGGCGTTGGGTCGTGGGCCGGAGGATGACACTAAACACGTGTGATCCTCGGCCAATGTGATGGGGCCAACCTCACACGGAACGTGAGGTGCCACACCACATCGCCACCAATCACGAAACCCACGCCGGGAAGTGCACCCAATAGTTTAAATAAAACCAAACTGCGATCCCCAACCAAACCACCGGATGGTCAAAGAAACTCACACAGAAAACTAGAGACACGCATAGTAAGGAAGAGTTAGCGACGAGGAATCATACGTTCAGCCAACGTTACTCTTTCGGACAATGATGCATCGACTAAGTACTCATACACGCATTCGCTGGACCATCTGCCCTGTTCACGGATAGTATGATCTCGAACCGCACTGAGGTAACATAAGGTGGCACCAGTGCGCCTGAGCGAGTGGAGCCCATATTCCACCAAGGCCTCGGAGGATATACCGAGGCGCGACAGCAAGTGGCGAAACTCGCTCATGAAATTGTCGTGACACAAGCGACGACCACCGAATTCGAAAAGTGGAGAGGAGGGTGGTTTAGCAACAGCGGATAGGGCGAGCAGACGGTGATAAGCACAGTAAGGGAAGCACGAAGATTCGTCAGGGCATCCACGCACACAAGAGATCAACACGGACTCACCGCGACCTGCCTGATCTATTTTTGATTTTCGAATAGCTATGCTAGCTACACGTCTTCCCAGGCGGGAACAGACATGTAAGTCTTCGAAGTTAAGAGCGATGATTTCATCGCCTCGCAAAAGACCGAAAATTCCAGTCAATGAAGCAGATACAATAACATTTGTACCGGAGGGATCAAGGATGCCTAATTGACAAACCTGGTCCCGGGTCAAAGGAAGCTTTTGGTCAACGGTATGGTCGCAAATCTTCGAAGCAGATTTCTTAGCCATGCGTAAGACAAATTCGTCTTGTGACGATAGCTCATTACCGTAGACTCTGTTTCGAGAAACCATCGCGCTCAGATAGGAGGAAACCGTACCAAACTTATATCCAGCACGTGACAGGGCATAAGCGAAAAGCGCCAGAGAGAAACCAGAGGCTGGAAACGGGACAATTGCCCGACCAACTACTTCCCTGTAGAAAGACTCGATGGAGTCGTACTGCTTTGAAGTACTGGCAGCGTGGCCGTCTCTGACGAAACCCCAAATAGCTGAGCCTAGAGTGCCGGATGAGTGATCGTTGATGACTGAACATGCACAGAGACGCTTGGGAAGGCGCGCAGAGTCACGATCTAGTATATGACCTAACACAGAACGCCATGGATAAATGAGAAAAACAGGGAAACTAGTGATAGACAAAATGTGACGAAGCTCTTGTATCCAAAGCTTAAACATGGAGTAGGTTATCGACTCTAATAGGAACTCGGGACCAGCCAATAGGAACTATACGACTTGGACAAGGCGAACGACTTAGTTGATCAGCAATAGTGTTTTCATCCGATGGAACATAAAAAACCTCCCAACTGTAGCACACACGTGAAAGACGAGAGACAAGGGCCTGCAGGACTTTGTTTATGCGGAAAGTTCGCGAACGAAACTTGCGAAAGCTAACCATAGCTCCTGTGTTATCCGTGAAGAGACGGCAAGGTAGTCGGGACTCTACAGAGGTAGGAACCATATCGAGACCCGCACAAAGCCCCAGGGCTGAGGCTAAACATTCAAGAAGCACCATATCATTACAAGTAGGATTAGAGGGTGTTTCAAGCAGAGATCTCCAACTACCTAGGCCCTCACCTGAGGACAGGGGGACTTGAAACCACGAGGTCGAGTCTCTGAAGGACATCCAGCCGGCCAGTGCGTACGTTGACGCGTCACATGTTATTGTTAGCACGTCACTAGTTCTAACCGGAAAAATTGGTAAGCACAGCAGGAAGGGGAAAGAAGGGACAAGAGAAGAATGAGACGAGATAGTCCTAGACCACCAACATAAGGCCAAGAAGAGCTCCGAGTTCGGAGATAATTTGACCGATCGTAACCTTTTCCTCTTCAGCAAGCTAGCGAGAGAGTACATCGGAGACAAGTTCGACTTTGCGCAAGGACAAATCATGCACAGACGAGTCAGTTTGCCTGCGATTCGCAGGCTGCGAAGGATTCAATGGTGTGCAGAGATATGGTATTGGGACGACGGACGATGACAGAATTGAGCTCGGAGAATAGGGACGAGACCTTAGCAGCAGACAACTGAATTTCGGACTTGATGCCTTCGATGGTTACATCGAAACCAATAAAACGAAAACAAGAAGTCATAAGACTACACTTTGGCCATGACAGAGTGATCCCGAGTAAGGGAAACAAGATCAAGAGACAACAAGTGAGAAAAATGGCTCGCTTCCGAGGCAACAACCAGCAAAAATCATCTATATACACCCAGCCAGCACCCGGGCTATCTGGGGATAAGGCATGCAGTAGAGAATTACTAACTCGTAAAATCTTGCTAGATAGACGACAAAAGGCCCAACCAGCCGTCACTACACCAAACGGCACGGCCAAGTTCTCATAGTTACGACCATCGAACGAGAAACAGCAGTATTTGCGGTTAGAGTTCAGCATAAAAAGGTGTCTGTATGCACCTTTTATATCGACAGAGGTTGCTACATAGTCTTGGAAGGATCCATCGAGTGAGACAAGAGACTTGAGTAGGAGTCGTATATCATGTAAGCTTGGATGAGTGGTATGCTCCACAGGGGCAATTCTGGCGTTCGCCCCTGAGCGTTTGAAATCCTCCACTAAGCGATATAACTTGGTACCATCGGGAGCACACTTCCCTTTGGGGACTGCGGCTAGCTTCGAAAAGAAACGGTCGGGCGGTAAAGCTTCAGCATCAGACAGTTCACGTATTCTACCGGGACGAAGCTCCTCTTCGACAACGGATCTGATCGCACACGTAGCATCCTGACCGCTGAAGTAATTAGCTCGTTCAAGAGAAGAGAAGCTGTGTTCGTCAAAGGAGGCGGCGTCATCGTCAGCGTTCTCACTGGACTTTGCAACAGGAAAGACTCCGGAAGCTTTGAGACCGCCTTCAAACCCCAAATTTACACCGGTATCTAGTTCGCTGACCAGGCCATCGTCATTCCCTGCGTCGAAGAGAGCCGACAAATAGTCGAGGACATCGGGACGTATGGGGCTACCAGAAGAGCAAGCTCGAGATGTCACTGTGGAAGAACATTCCAGGCTATCTAGTATAGCATCAGCTGCACCAGAGAAGGCATTGAGTAAATACTGAGACCTGTCCGGTCTGACTTCTCCCGAACGCGTTGTAGACGCCGTGAGGACATCTTCTAGCTTGTGCTCATCGATCGTTTTGGTCAGTAAGAGTGTGAAAGAAGCAACATCAGGAGTAAGCTTGTAAGCAACGTTGGGGACAGCGGGTAAATGGGCACGGATGCCCGACCCATCTTGATACAGGACTTCACAAGCAGGGACTTCTTGCGAGACTGACAAGTGAAACAGTTTACTTCACTGAATGGCTGAACTAGATGATCATGACTAACTTGAAACTATTCACTTTAACTGACTGACTGACTGACTGACCGGAGTCCGGTCACCGGACCCGTTGACTGATTACTAACTAACTGAACTAGACGACTGGAACTAACTTAAAACTATTCACTGTTACTGACTGACTGGCCCCGAACTGCGATTGGGGGTACTTGTAAGATAAAACAAATTAGAACCAACCACGAGGTTTTCACTCGGGTGAAAAGACTTGACCGCTTAAAGATTGCGATTGATGTAAAACCTCGATCGTGACCGACTCATCCCTCGACATTGACCGATTAGTCCTTCAAACGTGACCTGTTACCTGTGGATTGAGTAGAGGATCTCCCGGTATCAGTAGCACGACCTTGATTTGGGCGACTATAAGGAGAAGATCGCGGAGCCTGACTGTTCGGACCACCCAAGGAGTGGCTGAATCTGCAGGAGTCACCGAATCTACAGTCTCCCCGCAAATAATGTCGACATAGACGGTCCGTGGTTGTAGAAGGGGTCGAAGTACTACTTGAGTTAGATGAAGAGGGAACTTGTTGGAGGGGAAGACGACTAGAAGTGGTTGTCGCACGAGCCAAAGCGGCGGACATAATGGTTGGTAGAACATCGTCGCGTAGCATGTGGGAGACGGAGTAGGTTCCTGTCGTCACCAACTGGGCAATCGCAGAGCGGTACTTGGCGTCGTAGTCTATAATAGCTGGAGCACCGAGGGCAGGAAGAAAGTCGACTAGGCGTCTCCAGTAAGCTAGAACGTCACACACACTTACTCCAACTTTGGAAGGAGAACCATCAACGACAGGTGGGAACAAAGTCGAGTAGGTCACGCCCCAACGGAAGAGAGCAACAGAAAGTTCTGTGAAACCCGACAACTTACGTTTTTCAGTGCTCGACATCACCAGTTGTCCCGAATTGTTGACCTTGAAGGATTTGTTATCGTCCGTCGAGATTACCTCTCGACGAGGTAAGAATTCATTGAGATCCATACGTATGGCTTGTTCTGGTTTCTTCATCTTCTGGAGTATAGCAGGCTTCGTCGACATCAACGTAGGTAGCGGAGCTGAACCGTGAATGCGCTGGAAATGAGACAGCATCTTGTTCATATCCTCGGTGCTGAGCTCCTTGGAATCCTTCTTCGCAGTCGAGGTCACGGCACGACTGCACAGGATGCTGAAAATGACTTTGCCTCTGATAGGAAGCTCCTCAGCGATAGCAGACTTGATGTGGTCGTCCTTGGCGACGGAACCTAATGCTTCCTTAGTGTTGATGCCGATCCTGACGAGTACTGCGAGAACTGGTCCCACGGAAACCGGGTCCAAACCATCAGCGAGAGACACCAGCTCTCGATGTACAGCAATAGCCGGGGTGGTATAGTCGATTAAATCCGTGGTTCCGATAGTAACAGGATGAGTTGCTGTACGAAGCATAGTAGACTCTACAGAGGGGGAAGGGTTCGGATCACCGGGGAGGTCGGCCAGAACAGTTGGTCTTGAAGTTACGTCATCGTGTGGTTGATGCTGATTGGAGTCGTCGACCGTCTCAGTAGTATTGCCCGAGGGGACGCTAGGCTCAGAAGTGGAGGGCTGCGGTGGAGGAGAATCGTGACCGGCGATATTGGGTGATGTTGGGCTTCGACGGCTGCGAGGTGCTGGAGTCAGTTGGAAAAAAGGACGACAAATAACTGAGGCGAAGGTGGGATGTAACCCAACATCCTGGAAGAACTTGAATCACTGCTAAATAGCGCTAGGTGTTGCGTCGACACAACGTGACTGTCCCTTCACACACGCCGGAGACCGTCGCCGAGTAAACTGGCCCAACGAGTTGACCTCGACCAACGACGAAACGAGACTCAACCATTATGGTTGAACCATATGGTTGAACTGTTCAGGCTCCAACTCACGGTAAGTTACTAACCCAACTAGGAGACGTTATCATGAATGTGACGAGTGGAGCAACACCATTAACTATTAACAGCTTGTTCTTGGTCACTATTAACCACGAAATAGCATCCATACCTAAGGTAAATAACGTCTCTACCGCGTAATACGATCCGCATCGGGCTAGGGATTCACACTGTTATTCCCTTCGGAGTTCTGAATGCATCGTTATACGGGATTCTTGGGAATAAGACCGTCGGGTTTCGGGCTTCCCCGTAATGACAGTTTTTTCGAGAACTCGTATAACAGCTCGCACTTGAGTAAGACCTCGCACTCGTATATGAGTTTTGCGGGTTTTGGTTTTTGTCACAAAACTTTTGTGTGTGGTAATTTACTTGAAAAGGGCAACTTTCGTGAGTTCTGCACGAGTAAACACGATATCCAGGTCCTGTTTCCTTTATCCACATCTATGTTGTGACACAAGTGAAGCGTCGAGGGGCGAGATTGAGGAAAGGAGCAGACTTCATCGGTAGAACGCCTAGGAGGGAAGACGCCACGAGGAACAATTTTCTCTTCGATCCCAACTGGACCAAGGGAACGGGCACGAGGAAAGAACCTCAAATAATAACTAACAAGGACTATAATCCAACCACAGAGCATTGAGGGAACTCCACGAATCGAACTCGGGATAGATCCTGCTAAGGACCACCGAGCAACACTATCATAAGTAATGAAGAATCATCATGTGCTACGAAGATAGACAGCCGTTTCAAAATGATACACTCACGCGCACAACTGGGCGAGCGAGAAAATGAAACGTCACGTGCACGCGCACAGAGAAGATTCCTAAATTAACCCCGTCTACTTAAACCATCCGCCTTGTTCAGCTTCGTGTCGACCTTAACCGAGGACGCCTTAGCATGTAATCGTAACCATTCAGCGATTTCGGCTACTCGCCTGCGAAACGTCACGTTCATCGCAGGGACATCTCCTCCACGGCTGATCTTAGCTAAAGCCGATAAGGTAGTTGCCGAATCAGTCATCCATTCAACCGGCAACATCTCTGTCCACGAAGGGGGTATTGATGTAAGTCCTCGTAGTGCTGCCATGGCCTCCTTGGTAGGCATGCCCCACAGTCGTTGATCTTTAGGCCATCTTCCAGACCCACGGGCTAGAACATCCGCCCCTTGCATAACCTTGAACCCCCAACCAGATGTAGAAGCATCAGTATAAATCATCAATGGTTCGCCGAGCCGTGGGGCCCACATGACTCCCTTTCCTTGAGCAGTTACGATCTTTTGCTTGATCTTCTCTGATAGATTAATTACACCTGGCTCCAGGTGATGGCCCATATATTCCTTCTTACGGTCGGCGGGCACACCAGCCATAGCCACCGATGACAAGAGCGCCTTGTATCCACCTATACCAGTGACAAATAGCTCATCATAAGCATAACCGTTAATAACCAGTAGGTCTCTCTTCCTGACCGCTCGAGGTAAGGGTTTCATACGAACATACATCATCGTGCGCGAACCTTGTCGGCGTAAGTCATACCCCAATATGGTCAAAGTATTGGTCTCAGTTAACCATTCCACCGCCGAATCTTTTATCCACATTCCTCGGTCTTGTAAAGCTTGTCGGTCTCGGGCCATCCACTCTTCCATCTGGACTTTCATCTCATCGGAACACACATAGCATAGGTTGTCGGCATATACACTTCTATACGCTCCACTTTTTACCGGCCATGTAGGTAGTGCATGGGATACCACTTGTGCGAGGATACGAGACGAATGTACCCAACCCATAGGGAGCCGAACATAATGATAGGGACGGCCATCGTATTCAAACGCAGGAACGGGGACCTCTGGGTTATCCGGGAAGAATAAGATTGAGTAATACGCACGAGAAATATCCATCTGAGCTACCTGACTACAACCAGGGATACGTAAGTCATTCATAATCTTTCTTACTCCACCTTTCGGGGCTGGGGCACTCCCACAACCCTCATTATAATCTCTAAGATCAGACACCCCTCGAGTGCGTTTGCCATAAGCCACCATAAGCCTGGCCGGGACGACCTTAGCCGGAATTCCCGGGGCTATAGCATCAAATGCCACCATGTCCTCAAACGCTTCTCGTAGCAAGTGTTTCTCAGCGCCAATAGGGGACCACTTATAACCATGCCGCTTATAAGGAACCGCCTTCGGAGCTTGCTTGACGTAGACCTCATATCTTTGGGATGACTCTCGATAGATCAATCTGTAACACTCGTTGTCATCCAACACCGTCTCAGTTGCCACGTGAGAAGGCGGATCGGCCTCATCTTCACGAACGGGATCTATCATAGAACAAGGCTCTTGTTCTCTGGACTGCTCTACTCTTGTTACAAGAATAGAGCAGTCCAGAGTCAGGAGTCTCGAACCTTCATGAGGCCGATGCTCCACGAGCTGATTCCTTACCAAC